TTAGTAATTGTGTATAAAGTGAGAAAATAAATTCGTTAAGTATTTTATCGTGAGTTTAAATTAGTGGACCCACGGAATCCGTACAATTGGTGTCAGAAGTGGGATTCAAGAGGATTTTAAGAAGAAATTAAGTGGATTGGAAGATTTTTAGACCCAATTAGAGTATTTTTATGGTTGGTACAAGAGAACAAGCGAAGAAAATGGAGGAAGTAAGCAAGTTATTGGGCGATTTTATGGAGAATATGAGAAGAGAGAAGGCAGAAGAACAAGAAAGACTCCGTAGAGAAAAAGAAGAGGAAAAACTACGACGTCAAGAAGAACAAGACCAACTACAGAAAATGCTTATGGAGAATCAAGAAATTAGACAAGAACGGTTGGAGAAAATTGTAGAAAATCTAGAAGTGCGTCGCCAGAAAGATAAACAAGAAGAACAGGACCGGCTTGAGAAAATTCTGGAAGGCTTAGAGGCGCGTCATCAAAAAGAAAGACAAGAGGAACAGGACCGGATCGAGAAAATTTTACAAGGTTTTGAAGTGCGTCGACAAGAAGAAAAACTTGAAGAGCAGGACCGTATCAAGAAAAGTTTCGAAAAAATGGAAAAAAAGCAACAATCAATGTTGGAAGTACGTTGCCAGGAACAACAGAACCACTTCCAAGAAGCTGTAGAAGATCTGGAGGAGCGCCTTCAGCAGAAGATAGAAAGATTGGAGATGGACCTACAGAAGACCAAGGTACAAGTAAAGACACCTGGCGTTCAAGGAACAGCGAACCTTAAGGCCCCGACCTACGATGGACAAACGACATGGACAATGTACCACCGTCAGTTTGAAGCAGCCGCCGCTGCCAACGGATGGACTGACCAGGAGAAAGCAGCGGCACTTGTCATCGCGCTGCGTGGCCCTGCCCTGGAACTGTTGCAAACTATTCCTGCAGCCCAACAGCAGGAATACCAAACTTTGGTCGCTGCACTGGACAGAAGATATGGCGACCAACATCGACGCCAACTTTACCAGGCCCAGATCAAGACACGCCTGCAGAGGTCCGGAGAGAGTCTGCAGGAATTTGAAGCAGACTTACGTCGGCTGGTACACCTGGCATATCCAGAAGCACCGGAAGGGTTTAGGGAGGAACTCGCCGCCCAGTGTTTTATCAGCGGATTGAGGGACAACGAATTACAGAGGGCGCTACAAATATCACGATTTTCTACCAGCAGCGAAGCACTGGTCAGGGCGCTGGAAATAGAAGCTGCTTTTAGCGCCATCCCTAGACCGAAAATAAGATCACTAACAGTCGAGGAACAGCCCGAGAGTACCCACAGAAGTTTGGAGGAGATGTTTAGTAAACTATGTGAGTTACTAGTGAACAAGAGTAGCAACAACACCCAGACAGAGAACCAGAGAAGATCCCAGGATATTAGGTGCTATAGATGTGGCAGGAATGGCCACATCAAACGGGATTGTCGCATCCAAATGCGATTCCATTTACTATCCAGAGAACATCGGCACATCGGAAGATCCCAGGACATAAGTTGCTATAGATGTGGCAGGAATGGCCACATCAAACGGGATTGCCGCGTCGAAATGCGATTCCGTTTACCATCGAGAGAACATAGGCACCAGGAAATCAACACTAATGAGCGAGTATTGGCTGAAGAAAACAGAGCCCCTATGATGTTTTCCGTTAGGAGTCTAGGAAAAACCGCTGACAGTTTGGTGATCAACGGGAAGGTCAATGGTAGAAGAATTCGAATGACTGTGGACACAGGCGCTATGGTGTCGTTGGTGCGGACTAACTCAGTGCAAGGATTGAAGATGATGCCTCTTAGAAGAAGAGTGTATTTACGTACAGTTACGGGGGAAATGGCCGTTGTACGGGGAGAGGCTTTCATGGAACTGGAGTTAGGGAATTTGAAGTTTCGGCATAGCGTTTTAGTGGCAGACATTGAAGATGATTTTATCATGGGTATGGATGTGATCAGTCAACATGGTTTTTCGTTTGATCACCAGAAAACATCCTGAAAATCGGAAATGAGGAATTTTCTGTATCTAAAGAGAAGAGACCAGGAAATATGGAAGAAAGATCATCGAAAATTGTGATGATACCTGGTGATACCAAGAAGACTGTGTTCGGGAAACTAGAAAACCGCTGGGTGCCGTGTAGGACGGGTACAAATTATCGACAACGACCTAGATCGACGACGAGCTACCTTGGACAAGAAAATGAAACATCGCGAAAGCACTATCAGAATAAAGAATTTTAAGCTTAGAACTGACGAACCATGGACGACAGATACAATTGAGGAAAGATCAAATGGAAGATCCAGACATCGGAGCAATACTACGGCTCAAGGAAGGTAACGGCGAGACCACCGTGGCAGGATATTGCGGACAGAGGGCTCGTTTTCAAAGCTCTCTGGGCTCAGTGGAATTCACTGGTGATTGAGAATGGATTGTTAAAGCGCACGTGGGAAAGTGCGGATGGCAGGACAGTAACAACTCAGTTACTGGTACCAAGGAAGAAAGTTATCCAGGTATTGGAAGAAATTCATGGTGTAAAACTGGAGCCCATCTTGGGGTAAACAAGACCCTGAGCAAGCTGAGAGACCGTTTTTACTGGGTGGATTATTGTGAAGATGTTAAGAAATGGTGTCAACGTTGTAAGATTTGCGCAGCTAGACAAGGACCAAGTACTCGATCTGGAGGAAAAATGGAACAAGATAACGTTGGACGGTCGTTCGAAAGAGTCGTTAGGAAGGAAAGATTATTGGGAATTCATAAGGCCGTGAGAAGTAAGATTACGCTAGCCAGTGACCGGATGAAAGCTCGTTACGACCTCAGAGCTAATTCTACGGGATTTCAACAGGACGATAGAGTATGGTTGTATAATCCACAGCGCAAGAAAGGAAGGTCCCCAAAGTTAACTCCAGCATGGGAAGGTCCTTATACAGTCATCAAGAGGATAAATGATGTAGTGTACCGGATTCAACGCAGCCCTAGAAGTAAGATGAAAGTAGTTCATCTGGATCGATTGAAGAGATACCAGACAGGAAACCTTGATCGGGACGATCAAATTTGAGAAGGGGGCAATGTCAAGGTGTATGTGGCGCCATCTGTCGGAGAAGCGAGCAACTAAAACCGCAACGTGTCCAGAAACCTGAAGACAATATTTTGTTGTAGCGCCATCTCTTAATCAAGTCGACAAGTAAGCGAAGCAGACAATAGAATGTACTAGTAGATGGCGGACCCGTCCCGATAATTTTAGATTGTTCGCGAAATACTCACCACAGCTATATAAAAGGAGCGCTTACGACAGTTGGGGAAGTTTAAAGTTTTTTAATTTGAATATACCGCGTGGAAATTGAAAATCGGACAATTTGGTGAAGGAATCTTATAAATAGTTAGTTTGTTGTGTGTTATAAGTTAGTAATTGTGTATAAAGTGAGAAAATAAATTCGTTAAGTATTTTATCGTGAGTTTAAATTAGTGGACCCACGGAATCCGTAACAATATAAAGTAAAAAAATCAAGTTCAAAAATAAAAGTTCGTAATTTTATAAATTACTAGGTTACCTAACGGTTTATAGAACTTATTCTTAAATTAAATTATTCTTAGTTTATAGGTAACCATTTGGTATTATAAACCAAAAAATAAAGGTAATATTTAGAAATATGCTCTTTATTATTTTAGGTACCACCTCTATATTTAGAAACAAGAATATAATAATATACCTAACCCTACTTACCGATGAAAAGTTAAATGAGGATTTAAATATTCCACTCTCTTACACACAACACACGAATGTACCATATTTTCCAAATAATGTTTACACAAGTTCACAACATATCACAAAAATGTTAAAACCACAATTAAACAGTAAAACTACACAAAACACCTACCGGCGGAATGGCAATATCGCACTAGCAGCTATTTTGAATATTCATTCTGACTCGATTTCCGTTTTACTACGTCGTAAATTCCTAAGAGTGACGTTGCCAAACTGCTGTTTTTTTTAAGGAAAGACTACTTTGATATTTTATTCCATTAAAAAATTAAAAATAATAAAGTAATTAAGTATTAAATAAAAAAGTTGACGTTAGCAAATTAATGTACTTGATATAAATATAGAAATATAACGAAATTTCTTCATAATTGATTGTGGTGTTAGTCGAATATTAATTGTATATATAAGTAAATGTGGCAAACGTTTTTGGGGTAAGAGAGACGGGAAAATAAGGATAAAATAATGTCTGATAATGGAAAAACGTAAACAATTGTATCTCTTGAGTTTAAACATCTTTGGTCAGGACTATATCTATTAAAATAAAAACATTCATTCATCTAAATAGAGCGAGTATGTGTGAGGTTCAAGTTAACGTCTCCTTTCTGCTGCAATGGCTAAACTGGACGGGACCTACTTTGTTTACGCGGAATCCGAACCGCGGTCCTCGGCCATATCATGGTCAATGGCCTACCGACTTAGGAAGTGTCTAAATTAACTCTTACTCACGAGATATCCGATCTCATCCGGCCTCGAACCGGCGTGAATGAGCAGTGTGTATCAATAGATTTTACACTTTTCCCTTGGACAACAGCACGATTCAAAGTTTCGAACCGGTCACCCGTCCATCAACTAGCATCGCCTTACGTCGCTTAACTTCGGTGTTCTAATGGGAACCGGTGTTTCGACGTAGCTGGGCCGTTGCCCTATAGAGCGAGTATCAAGCCACTTCTAGGAGGAAAATGACAAACCACTAGTGATGAGCGATTGCAAGACCGAGACCGAAAACCAAGACCGACCGCCAATGACGTAGTCATATTTAGAAAAAAAAATTATGTAATGTAGCATTATGCTTGTAGATGTTCGGTCAAAATGTCAAAAATATATTGTTAGACTAGACTAACTAAAAAAATATTTATAGATAAACTTTTAGAACAGATTTTTAGAAAAACAGATACTTACTTTGGATGTAAAATGTTTCCTTTAATGGCAATATTCAACTGTCCACAAAAATATCGTCGGTCTACAAACAAAATACACTAAGTCCAAAAAAATATTTTTAATGCATTTTTCCTCTAAAAATATAACGTTACTATAGACTTATGAAAATAATTTAAAAATGAAAGTAATTGGCTAATATAGAGCTATTATTCTGAAAAAACTTACATACACCGAATGCGCGACTCAAAAGTGGCTCACCCCCTATAACTTTTTTATTTTTTCAGATAAAAAAACGAGATTTGGTAGGTTAGTATACGACATAAATTAGGATTTATTGACGTATTCTATTGTTTTCGGTCACTTCCCATTTTACCGGAAACGACTACAACTTTTAATTTCAAAATGGCACCTTTGGTGTATTTTTACTTTACTGGATAGAAAATGACACTCTGAATAGAATGAAATTAGATTTACAGATTATTATTAGATTTACTAACGTAGCTCTATAATCTGGAAATCTAGTCAAATGATAAATAAGTCAAAAATCGAGGGGTAAACCGCTGACAAATTTCTGTACACTAATACCACGAATAACGCCAAAAATGCCAACTAATACCACGAATAAGACCACTAGGTAATACCAAATAATGCCAACATAAACCAGCGGTGTTAAAAATAAAACCTCGTTAAAAATGAAATAATTGGACTTGTGTAAGGACTTGGAGTGAGTTTTTCTTGTAGACCGATAATATAGACCTCAAATCTGAGAATGATTGACTCCAAGATTCCAAAACAACACTGTGCAGTGTGAAGACAACATCGACTTTTTTTGCCCGAATTCCTCTTGCTGTTTTAGATTCGTTTGTCGGATAATAATGCATGTAACAACTTTGCAAGGGAAATTTAGGCTCTACCTTAGCATAAATTATTCCTACCAAGTTTTCGGCGACTCACGACATCCACTTTTCGCTCGACCTAGTTTCGCACTAGGAAAAACGTATTTTAATGCTACAGAGAACGAGGAAAAAAAGGAACAATGATTTCTTACGTTCGATTCGATTTGTGAAATAGCGAGGAAAACAAAAAACTCGACCTCGTACACGATATTTTCTAAAGAACTGTTCTAGAATCGCTAGTGCGTAAATGGTTTAGTTTGTGATGTTAATAAAATACCTACTTGAAGGTAAAAGTTAAATAGTCTGGTAAAAAATCAAATATGACATTCATACTGTCTGGGTAAAAACAGAAATGAATTAATATAAGCTAATATCGTTTTGGTTATACCAACGCTAACCATAAATACAAGCCCTAAAAACTAAATGATCGGACAAACAAAAATTTATTGAAAACCCTTATTTTCATAAACTGGATTATTATATTTAAGAACTACATTAAAAGTACCTACTATATTAAAATTTAACATTTCTAATGAGTATTTAAATAGTTTAGTTCCTATAAACATTAAAATAAACTGTAAGCGAATATAGCAACAAAAACATTGAATAATATAGTGACAACAAAATGTTCGGACACTTTAATAAATTACTGTTTTAATTTTAATATGGCGTCACATCGGCATGCGCTTTTACAACCACTGCCAGCCTGTCTGGCATTGTTTTTATTAATGATTGACATACGCCAAGGTAATAATAATAATAATAAAACAAATTGACATAATTCACTTAATATCATCGTCAAATGGGCAACGGTACGTTAGAGATCGTCACGCAAATTTTGTTTCATTTTATGCCACCATGTCCCGATAACATTAAGGTCCGGACTGTGCGAAGGCCATGAGAGGACCTTGATGTTATTGCCCTAAACAATTTTTTAGCAGTTTTAACCATATGGCATGCACCGCCATCCTGTTAAAATATAAAATTCATGTCCTGGTAAAGATCTCTTGCACTTGACAGAAGACTGTTTTTCAAGATTTCTTTATATTTGACGTAGTAAGGCAGGCGGCCACTGCGCACTGAAAAAAAGGATCTCTCAGTCGAAATGAATATGACTTTGACCCAAAAGATTGGCGCTTTTCAATAGGGCCAAGAACGACGTTTCTTTGCCCAAAGCATTAACTATCTTTCCATAAGCTTTAAAAAATTACTTTAGAGAATAGAAGAATCTATCTGTCCAAAATATTTCACTCTTGACCCAAAATTAATATGCAAAGAAGTTCTTGATACAAGAACAATAGTCTCTTTGATTCATGCAAAAATTCTTGATTGAAAAGGGATATTTCTTGATTAAAGAGACACTTTTCTTAAACCAACAGCGAATACCATTGACTCAACTAAAATGTATTTTGATCTAAGAGAAGTCTATACATCATACATATACAGGCATATTAGGAGGTATATTATTTTCTGATAAATTTAGGTTTTCCTCGTCTGTAGTAAGTAAAGTGATATTATTTTCCTCGATAGTAGTTATTTGTGCTTCTTCACTACTTGGTATTTTTTGGGGTGGTTCATCACTCTACAAATGACAAAAAAATGTTACATCACGATTAATCAAAGTAAAGCAAACAAATTATTAAAATTACAAGCTTTGGTCACATTTTGCATTTTTTAATACGACGACTTGAAATTCTAAAATTGTTGTAATTATTTGCATAAAAAATCGATACCTATGTTCTTATTCTATCTATAGTCACGCATGCATTATCTAAACAGGGCATTAGGTAAATGTCTCTTACCTTCAAATATAGCAAAAAAAAAGCTCTAATTTCCATTTTTTTCAGAAACTCCTTTAAAGAATTCATATTATATCCTAAAATTTGTCCATAAAAAATGACAAATGCATGTTAATAACAATCATTAATTTGTTACACGATATGCGTTTAAAAAGCAAATTATGCAAAATTCCAAGCAACAAAATCAGTGTGTACTATGATGTGCGATCTATGAAATGCGACGTGCGACTGATCGGACTGCCGACTGATTGTATGTACCGTCCTTCGTCATCGTCTTGTTCACCGTGTCGTTATTATTTTTCATCAAAAGAGTATTTAGCTATTGGAAAAATGGCCATGTTTCTTGAATGAAGTACTTCCTAGCGTATTTTTGTTATTATCTTAAAACAAAGCAACTTGCACTTGGTTGAATGAAAATAGATTCAAGAGAAATTTTCGAATTTTTCAAGAGAACAAGTTTTCTTGAGTTAAGAGAGTTTTTCTTCAGGCAAAATATTTTCTTTTACGCTAAAATAAATTCTCTTGCCACTAAATTTTTTTTTTCAAGACCGATGACGACTTTAGTTCAAGTCTATCTTTTTTATCAGTGCGAGCGTAACTAAACTAAGCTAAGAATATAAAAACAAAGGTAACTAAACGAAAATAAGTTTCATCGGCCACTGGGAACGATTTTCGCTGAGTAATTAGCTGCGTTTTCGTATTGTGTCTCTGCTATCATAGAACTAATCGGTGCGAAAAATTCGCTGGAACCTCTCACGAACTAAAACGAGCGAAACTAAACTACGATTTGAATCTTCGTTCATATATTTTCGTTTAGTTTCGCTCAAGTGGCCGCTAATGCATTTAAAAGTATGGGAGCTGATTTTTACAAATATTATCTTCGCTTGGCTTAGTTTAGTTTCGCTCGCAGTGGCCGCCCGCCTTTAATTGTGCTTTCTATACCACCTCATGCCTTCCTAGACTCGCTGTGGACATACCTACGAACACCCTAAAAGCATAATTTTAGGAAATAAGCTTTTAGGAAATTCTACTGTCCTTTTGAGGTTTTATGAGGCTCATACCTGCGTGCACATGTAATCCTTTCACTTGCAGTTTGCGATTGTAATTATCAGCGTCGGATTGAAACTTCTGATTTTACGAACTACAAAAGTGACATTAAGGTGCAATGTTTAATTATCTCCCAATCTGATGCTGATAATTCCAATCACAAATTACAAATGCACGGATTACATGTGCATATGAGCCAGCTTAATACCAATATAATAAATATAATCGAACACCGCTAGAGTGTCTATTTGATAAAGATTGCCTCAAAAGGACAGTGAAATTTCCTAAAGACATTTTGATTTATGGATGTATGTCCAAAATAGGTCCAGGAAGATATGAGGTGATAGAAGGCACAATAAATGCGTCAAAAAATCAAGAAATTTTGAAAAATAATCTTGTGCTAAGTGCTAAGGACCTGTCCCAAGAGGTGAATTTTATATTTTAACAGGATGGCGGTGCATGCCATACGGCTAAACATGCTAAAAAATGGTTTAGGGACAATAACATAAAGTTCTTCTCATGGCCTTGGAACAGTCCGGACCTTAATGTTATTCATACATTGTGGCATAAAACGAAACAAAAGTTGCGTGACGATCCTCAACGAACCGCTGTCCATTTGACAATGATTTTATGTCAATTGCCGAAAAATTTTGCCCTGGCGCGCTGAAAAAAAGGATCTCTCAGTCGAAATGAATATGACTTTGACCCAAAAGATTGGCACTTTTCAATAGGGCCAAGAACGACGTTTCTTTGCCCAAAGCATTAACTATCTTTTCATAAGCTTTAAAAAATTACTTTAGAGAATAGAAGAATCTATCTGTCCAAAGTATTTTCTCTATTTAAAGAAGTTCTTGCTACAAGAACAATAGTCTCTTTGATTCATGCAAAAATTCTTGATTGAAAAGGGACATTTCTTGATTTCTTACTTACTTACTATTGACTCAGCTAAAATTTATTTTGATATAAGAGAAGTCTATACATCATATACAGGCATATTAGATACGAGGTATATTATTTTCTGATAAATTTAGGTTATTTCTGCTTCTTCACTACTTGGTATTTTTTAGGGTGGTTCATCACTCTACAAATTTAAAAAAAAAAATTATTTGCATACAAAAATCGATACCTATATTCTTATTCTATAGTTACGCATGCATTATCTAAACAGGTGCATTAGGTAAATGTCTCTTACCTTCAAATATAGCAAATAAATGCTCTAATTTCCATTTTTTCAGAAACTCCTTTAAAGAATCCATATATCCTAAAATTCCATAAAAAATGACAAATGCATGTTAATAACGATCACTAATTTGCTATACGAAAGGCCTTTAAAAAGCAAA